TTACGAACAATGTCAGCTAAGACTGATATGCTCCGTAGATACCCAAACAAGATGCTCATGTCTCAGCAAACTTGACCATTGGAATTCGGGGCTCCTGTGTTAGCTTGACCAATGCAATCCGGTGTGTTCGCTACGACGAAGCAGTTCTAGCAATACCAACGAACTCGACGAATCGCATTATCCAACAGATATCTACAATTCACTTGGAGTGCTTGTCCGAAATTGAGATGTTGCTCGCGGTGTCAGCAGCGGTAATATGTTGTGCACTGCTCCTTGCAAGAAAACCTACAATTTGGGTTAGAGTTGGCGTCTTGTTTTGTATCATGCTAGTGATAGCACCTGTTACCGTGGCGGTCGTCTCACTAACAAATGCGACGAGAGCAATCACGAGTATGGGGTTCACCGTCGTGATAGGCCAAGGCGTGATCTATGGCTGTGTGATTTTTGGCGCTGCAATATGTGGATTCTTTTCCATGGTAATCGTATTGGTTTACAACTTCAGACAGGAATAATACCAGGAGTTCTGTCACTAAACTTAGACCATAGTCCGCGAGCTATAGCGTGCCAGATGTGTGGTGGTCGGGACACCAAAACTTCCTCACATGCCAAGCGCGCGGCAAACTGCAATGCTAGGTGACCTATTTTTAAGAAGCCCCGAACCTCTATGGCATATACCCTGGCAGTAGCAGGTGTACTAAAGTTAAAATTGCCAACTGGTATAGAGGTTACGAGTAGTTAGGGATCAGGCCTCAGCCTGCAACAAGGCACGAGTGAACCAACATGACTTGCAATCAGTAGGTTTTCCACACCAGGTAAAGTGATTATCCAGCTCACGTCTTTTAGATGTTTCGCAAGATTCTCACCGTTTATAGAGAATGAACTTGCACGGATATATAGCGATCATATAATGTGCAATCCATCAAAGGATTGCCGACCGGTCAGAATCAGTGACCTGCAACGGGTACAAAAGAACCGATCCAGCCGTTTCTCTAAGCGGAGACGGAACTTTCTGAAGAAGGCACACGATCAACAGAAGGACTGCGAAGTAGATGTTTACCTGTGCGTACGCAGCAGAAAGAATAACAAAATCTGGCAATACTCCAGCGAATTCACTCCACCTTCGCAAGATGAGATGGTATGGCGTACGAGGCAATATGTGTGTGACATATTTCTAACCTGCTCTAGGCTAATATGTACCCTCTGCCGGTTGTACTCGGTCCAGATGACTTCACCAAGAAGGAATATTGCATGGAGAAGCCATCTGGCTATTTGGTGGCCCAGGCATCTATCGCTTCCGGTGTTGCTGGGCTGGAGGCAGAGTCGGATCCCTCTGAGCTATTCGCAACTTCGACTAAGCCTGGACTCTTTACGTGTAATTAGCTAATATGCCATGAGAAAGAAGATACATAAATGCGAACCTCATTGTCTTTCAGTACTTGCATATCTCCTGTTATTTGATGCAAAAGCTCTCGAGTCCGATGTAACTCGGCACGTAATTCCTGGCTGAAATCATAGTGCTCTTGTCGGGAATTCAGCATGTCTTCTTGTAGGAGATGAACCTTCTCCTCCAGAACATACACCTTGGTCCGAAGTTTGTGCATGTCCTCTTCGTGTTGCTCATCGCACCTTGCCATTTCATCCTGAGACGCACTTAGGCTTGCCTCAACCAGATACATTCTCGAGGTAACTTCTTTCACATCCTGGTTCCATAGACCATGAATGGCCCGGCACGTATTGGACGATCCTGCGTTTGCTTGCTCTAGGACCAGCTTGAGAGAAGATGACGGGCTTTGCCGAGGATCACTTGAGCCTGTAATCACATCCTGCTTTGTTTGGGCAGGTCGCAGTGGAAGGAGACGGCTCTCAGGCATTATCAAATGCTTTCAGAAGAAATTTGCAAGTATGCGTAAAAGCAAACCAGGCGGAGAGGAAACAGATGAAGTATGTATTTCAGTACCTAAACTAGCTCAACAACACGTCCGACCAGAGTCTAATATGCACAAGCTAAGATCCATTTATGCCTTCCCTGTTGTGCTCCCTGCTGCGCAACTAACCGTTACGGTCCGCAATAGTGTCGTCGTCAAAAATGTAGTCACCGCAGAGCTGACAAGAGGGGTGGTGACCTTGGAAGCGCCACTGTCAAAGACTGTGTCTGTTGTCACAGGCAAGGGGGACGTAGTTCTAACGGTTCTTCCGATCATATCGGACCGGGAGATCTCCACTCGAACGGAGTCAGCAGTCGGAGCCCGGGCGGCTGTTGTGTCCGTCCCCGTTGGATCCTTGTTCATCACTGTAGAAGATGGTGTTACCACCCCAGAAGTGACCCATGACTGGGATGGGAGTGTGACTGTGGGTGATGTCTCCTGTGATCTAGGGAAACTAGTCGTCGTCCAGGTAAAGATTGACACTGCAGTTTCGGTTGTTGTACGAGTGGACATAGTTTTGACAACCAGGACACTGGTTGTTCGAAGTACCTCGTTAATGCATCCAACTTGTGCCTCCCTATCAAGCTGCATGGTAGGATCAGACGTGCCATTCGTGATATTCGCCTGATAGCAGTATGGAGCCAGTCCGGCGCATTGCCTACTACAGTTAGTCGACCTGTTTGCAATGGAATGGTTATTGTGCTCACCAAAGGATATCTGCTTCCCCGTTGGGGACCTCCGCAGGGGTGGTAAATTTTGCGATCAGTTGGCCTTCACATTGTGTGGTGGAGAAGTTGAAGCGCAAAGGGAGGAAAGAGGAATTGCCAAAACTCATGGTGGCTTGACATCTTGTGGACTGAGGAGCGTTAATGCTGTGTAGGCGGGTTAGCAAGTATCCGCGTCATGGTCCTCGGGATGCAACTGACTGAGCCGACAAGACCGATTGTCCAGCCTCAAGGGAGACGACCGGGGAGGTGAGGCACATGCTGTGGATAGCAGCAGCTGGCCACAGCAGGCATGTCAGAATTGAGAAGAGCTTGTTGAGATGCATTTTGTTTCTTAAAGTCAGTCACTTTCCGAGTGATGCCGTTGGCTAGCAGGAAAGTGCAGATCGAGACCATTTTGTACCCATGATTCGTGGTTACCTACTTTAAGCGCGTTTATCTTCAATTGCGTCCTGGTGCGATTTCTGGTGTTAAATTTAATGGGCGCTTATCAGTACCATTTGAGCAAGATACTTATATTTAATTGCGTCCATGCTCGGCGGAAACACAGACTTCGACCAATTCTTGCTTGTCCAACCTCTTCTTATCGCACATAATGTCATACTTCACCTTCAACTTGTCCGCGGGCACACAAGGGCCACCAAAGGCCAAACAAGAGCAGTGTACTAGTAGTTTGTCCGAACTTGTAGTGCCACAGTTGGATCATGAGTCATCTACTCTCCCGACAAACTCGCCGGCGACCACACTCTGTGAGCCCATCCTTTGTGGGCAACCTACACTCAATCCGGGGGAACCTTGGATTGGGTTTGATGGTAGCTTGCTTGTTGATGGGCCTATAAACAGCGGTGCCTTGCCATCCTATGACCAAACCTCGTTCCATCCTGGACTTACAACCAAAGACGATTTGAGATGGTAAGTCTTACCTCGAGATTGAGAACGCTAGACTTGTATTCTGACCTACTACTCAGGATGTTGATGGGAATGAACGACCGCATTGCCACATTAGAGCAGGCTACAGCTATTGGAAACCAAACAGTGGATCAGTTGGCCAAGAACGTTTGCGACATGCTTAGTCGCCTTGCAGTGATTGAAGGCATGCTTAAGGTCGTAGAGGACCTTAAGCAGAACCTCAAAGACTTTACAAGTGGACTGATGCCGCACATTCTTCGCGTAAATCTGGAGGAAGATCTTGAGAGGCACGGTCAATGCGCATCCACATAATGCCATGCATTGTCGATCAGGCCTCCCCGGGCGGTAGTGGACGGCGGAGTGGAACAGTGTGACAGAAGGCTGCATGAACGTTTAAAGATAATCCACGTAGTTACCTCAACTAGCTTTTGACAATTTTCGCTTAGGACATAAAACCTTGACTTCAGTCCACTTTGTCTCAATGCGTGCTACAACTTCCGAGTGCAAACGAAATATTCCTGACCCCCATGGCTAATTACAAGGCGAAAGAACTCCCGCCCCTGCCTGAGCAAGCCGACCTAAGCGGTAAAGGCAAAGATCGCCCCCCTGTCGCTCGGCCTCTAGTCTTACCAAGACAGTCTCCCAAGTACCAAGCCACTGCTGATGAAATGAGACGACAACTGGGTCAGCTTCAGGAACAAAACAAGACGCTTTGTCAGTCTCTACGTGCGAGTGACGAGGAGAATATTATGCTGCGAAAACAAATTACCGCCTACAAGCAATACATTGAAAAGCAGGATAGTGGGCTAGCGGAGGTCATCAAGGCAATTTGCTCCGCGTTCCAAGGCTATCGAGAGACAGTGGTGGAGGTTACTAAACAGGCAACCATGAGCGAGGAGATTGCGCAGTGTGAGAGGGAAGCCGCAGGGAGGCTGTTCCCTCCCCAGTTGTAGATAGTCTCAGAATGGTTACTTCTGCTTAAAAATAATACGACGTCGTTTCTCCTATTGATCCCCGACACGCACAAGCGCCAGGTGCCGAATGTGACGCAGAGAATTTTTCTAGTTTGCACGCCCAATTGAGGCATTACCTGCACACCTCACCCCCAAACTGAGTACTGCCTATGGCACAGTCCGGCAAAATAGGCAACAATGGTGGGAAAGAGGCAAAACAATATGGCGGCAAGCCGCAATGAAGTGGAGAAGCGGAGACGCTCCAGACTTTGAAGGCCAGCAGAGGGAAGTCGCCGACGACCGAAGGGTGGCAGGGACAGCACCGGCCAGGTTATAACTTTCGTCACAGCACTTGGATGAGAACAAGTCGCGAAACTAAAAATAAGACAGCCCTGCAGGTGTAACAGTTACCGTAGTACATCAGCCACAATAAATACGCGTTGCATGGAATCATGAACAATGACAGCGAGCAGACACGACAAGACAGAATGGCACCAATCACTTGCAAAGTCATCGACACCACCAACCGCGGACAACCCGGAGTCTACGTGGTCCTAGAGTGCAAAGATCAACAGCATCACGTCATTGCAACACTGGAATCAGTGACTGATGAAGATGGCGGAGTCAGTCTGTGGTTCCCAACACCATCACAAGGTCGAACGGACGAAGTGGGGCCACAGATTGTTGACAGCCGCGTCAATCCTAGGGTCTCTTTGACTTTCTTCCCCCACGCGCCGCTGTCAACATGCCCAGCCCCGTTCTTGTCGGTTCAGACGGACTTGTACCTCGACAGGGAAGAATGCCACGGAATTATCCTGTATCTTGACCCTAATCCGCGACTTGAGCACTACCCTTTCCCGGTAGCCAGCCCGCTCACGCAAGTGCCGTCGCCGCAAGAATTGCCAATCCCATCCCCGCTGATACTGCCCCCGCCAGTCAGCCCAAAACAGGCAATCGCCGATACTTCTATGTGACATGGACTGCCTTGACGGGAAAAGATGTCAGAAACGGAAGGCGGAAGGAGAGCCGCGAGGACCGAACCAGAGGCGCTATTAGCTCAGGTGGCTGTGTCCAGAAACGGTGCAAAGCAGGGGTGGTGGGAGGGCGCGCGGGGCTTTTGTAAGCCAGTATTTCTACTTTGGAGAGGAGACGCAGGGAAGGAAAACTGCCGAGTCTACAAAAGTCCCGCCGCCATGGCTAGAGAGCTGGGTGTATCTAGCAGTTGGACCGTAAAAACTGGCTTTTGAAGAGATATGCACATGTGATACAACCGATTCTCAATGAAGAAGCATTTTGCCAACATGCAGATGAGCCGGGTGATTGTCACTTTTTAGTTGGTTACCGACGGTACGGTCCGCACGCTGTGGGCTCCAATGACAAGCAGTAAACCCTGGACTAGGCTCAAAAATTGACGCTGCACAATGTGACAAGGCGGGTGTCAACCATTCACCACTCTCAATGTGGATTTTATCCCCCCCATTACGCCCGACCTGAGTGTTCTGCCTTGTCAGACAAGGCGAACAGACCCCCCCACAACCACCAAATTGGTGGCCTGGTCCTCAAGAGAAGACCATCATATCTTTGTTAAGGCTGATCTCCACCGGGGATCTGCCACGGAGTTTGTAAAAGCAAATGCAGCTCGGTATTCGGCAATCTCGCTCTATTCTGAGAAGATCCATTGGCTTGCAGGCTGGACCTCTTTGGTACCATGCTAGCGATAGCACCTACTACCGTAGCGGTCGTCTCACAACAAATGCGACGAGAGCAGTCACGAAGATGGGCTCCACCGCCGTGTCCGATCACGCCCGAGCCGTGTCCGATCAGGGCGTGATCTGTGGATTGGTGATTATGGCGCTGCAGTATGTGGATTCTCTTCCACGGTAATCGCATTAGTTACAACTTCAAATAAGAATAATACCAGAAATCCTATCATTAAACTTGGACCAAATTCGCGAGCTATAGCGTGATAGATGTGTGTGAGTCGGGTTACCATGAACTCCCTCGCAGGCTAACCGCGCGGCAAGATGCGATGCTGGCAGACCTATTTTTAAGCAGCGCCAAAGCCTCTATAGAACATGCACTGGCAATAATAGAGTACTAAAGTTAAAACCGGCAGCAGATAAAGAGGCTATGACGGTTAGGATGAAGCCTGGGCATGCAATAGGGCACCGAGAGAACCAACATGACTTGCAACCAGTAGGTTTTCTACATCAAATAAAGTGATATTCTGCTCACCTTCTTTAGATGTTTCGCAAGATTCTCACCATTTGTTGGTAACGAACTTGCGCAGATATACAGCGACCACATAGCGTGCAATAACTCAAAGGATTGCCGACCTGTGAACATCGGCGACATGCAGCGCGTACAAAAGAACAGATCCAGCCGTTTCTCCAAGCGGAGACGGAATTTCCTGAAAAAGGCACACGATCTACACATTGATTGCGAAGTAGACGTTTATTTGTGCGTGCGCAGCAAGAGGAGCAACAAAATCTGGCAATACTCCAGTGACTTTACTCCGCCTTCACAACGGGAGATGGTATGATATATGAAACAACACGCGTATGATTTGCATCTGACTTGCCCTAGGCTAGTATATATCCTCTGCCGGTTGTCCTGGGGCCAGAAGACTTCACGAAGAAGGGATCTACCATGGGCGAACCTCAAGGCGGTCACTTCCCGGAGAAACCATCCGACGCCTTGGTCCTCCAAGCGTCCATCGCTTCCGGGGTCACTGGGCTGGAGGCAGAGTCGGACCCCTCTGAGCCATTCGGAGCTTCGATTCCTGCTGGACTCTTTATGTGTAATTAGTCAATGTAATATGAGAAAGAAGACACATAAATGCGCACCTGATTTTCTTTCAGCGACTGGATGTCTCCTGTCATTTGATGGATAAGCTCCCGAGTGCAATGCAACTCCGCACCTAGGTCCTGGCTGAGACTACGATGCTCATGCCGCTGAGTCTGGCATTCGTTCCGTAACATGTGAACTTTTTCCTCCAGCACATACACTTTGGCCCGAAGGTTAAGCATGTCCTCTTCCTGTTGGGTGTTGCGCCTTGTCACTTCTTCCTGAGACGCGCGTAGGCTCGACTCAACACGATACATTCGTACAGCAGCTTCTTTCATATCTTGGTTCCATAGTGCATGGATAGCTCGGCATGTATTTATCGAGCTTCCATTCTCTTGCTCAAGGCCGAGGTTGAGGGAAGAAGACGAAGGGCCTCGTCGAGGATCGCTTGATCCCCTTGGAACATCCTGCTTTGTTTCTGTCGGCCGAAGTGGAGGAAGACGCGGGTTGGACATGATCAAGAGCTTGCAACGGAAGTATCAAAGTGTAATGTGGATGAAGTCAATTACTGTGAGTCTATCTGAACAACTAGACTAGCTTAGCAACAGGTCGCAGAGAAATATTATATACACAAGTTCCAGTCCAATCCCTCCATTTATCCCTTCCCTGTTGCGCAACTAACCGTTACAGTTCGTAATAGTGTGGTGGTCAACAATGTGACTACTACAGAACTGGTAACGGGAGTGGTGACTCTGGTCGCGGCACTGTCAAACACTTTGTCTGTCGTTAAAGCCGAGGGGGGTGTAGTTATGACGTTTTTTCCGGACACGCTAGAAGGAGGCATCTCCGCTCGAACGGAGCCAACACTCGGAGCCCGGGCGGCTGCTGTGTCTGTCCGCGTCGGATCCTTGTCCGTCATCGTAAAGGGTGGCGTTGATACCCCGGAGATGAACTGTGACTGGGCCGGAATTGATGTTGTGATTAGCGTCTGCGACTTGGTAAAAAGTGTTGTCGTGGAGGTGAAGACGGACACTACAGTGTCGGTTGCTGTACGAGTTGGCATTACTTTGGTAATCACGACATTGCTCGTTTTGAGCAGCTCGGTAATACATCCAACTCGTGCTTCCCTATCAAGCTGCATGGAAGGGCCAGATGTGCCGTTGGTTATGTTGGCCTGATAGCGCAATACGGAGAGAATCCAGTGCATTGCCTAGTACAGTTAGTCAACCTAGTCTCCATAAACGTCCGTGCCATTGTATATTTACCAAAGGATGTCTGCTTCACCATTGGGAACCTCTGCAGGGGTGGTAAAAGTAGCAATCATTTGACCGTCACATTGTGTGGTGGAAAAGTTGAAGCGCAGAGGGAGGAAAGAGGAATCGCCGAAATTCATGGTGGCGTAACATCTCGTGGACTGGGGAGCGTTGATACTATGCAGAATGGTTAGCGAGTGTCGGCGACGCCCGGTCCCGCTAAGAAACTTACGCGGCAGACAAGACTGACTGCCCAGCCTCAAGGGAGATGATTGGGGAGGTTAGGCACATGCTATGGATTGCAGTGGCCGGCCATAGCAGGCACGCCAGAATCGAAAAGACGTCGTTGCGATACAATTCTTTGCCGTTAGTTATTTCTAGTGATGCTGTTGGCTCGGAAGCAAGAGCAGTCAATCGGGCCATTTTGTACCCAAGAGACGTACCTATTTTTAAGTCCGTTTATATTTAATTGTATCCTGGTGTGATCTCTAGGATTGCCTAACTTTAACGGGCGCTTACAAGGAAATTTGTGCAATGTGTGTTTATTTAATTGCGGCCTTGCTCGGAGATGGCGCAAACGTCAGTCAACTCCTGTTTGTCCAACTCCTCTCATGCAACAGCATCATGTCTTACTTCACCTTCAATATGTCAGCGAGCACACAAGGGCCATCAACGCCCAAAAATCCACAGCGTAGCAGCTCATCCAATTCTGCTGTTCCACAGTTGGATCACGACTCGTCTACTCTCCCCATAAACTCATCAGCAACAATGCTCTGCGAGCCAACCGTTTCTGGGCAAACTGCACTGAATCCAGAGGCACAATGGTCTGGATTTAATAGTAGTTTGCTTCAAGTTGATGGGGCATTCAGTGGGAGTGCCTTGCCACCCTACGATCAATCTACATTACATGCCGCACTTACCACGAACGACGATTTGAGATGGTAGGTCCTTTCTAACGACATTGAGGATGGCGAACTCGCATGCTGACCTAGTCACCACTCAGGATGTTGATTGGGATGAACGACCGTATGGCCAACTTGGAGCAGACCGCAACTGCTGGAAATAGAACCATGGATCAGATGGGTAACCATGTTTCCGACATGCTTAGTCGCCTGGCAGTCATTGAAGGCATGATCAAGGTAGTTGAGGACCTGAAGCAAAGTCTTCGAGACTTTACCAGGGGATTGGTGCCACACATTCTTGGCGTAAATCTCGAGGAAGATCTTGAGAGACAGGGCTAATGCGCAACCAACGGACACACGGGTGGGGGTTGAGCGGGGCAAGTGACAGAGGCTGCATGAACGTTGGAAGGTAATCCGTGTACGATTTTAGTTTTTTGTGTGAGAAATTGATTTAAGCCGTCATACTACTTCAATGTCCATCTTGCCTGCATACGTGGCCATCCAAGTGCAAACGAATCGCCGCCGATTCACCATGGCTAACAAAGCTCCCACCCCTGCTCGAGCAAGCCGACTTGAGCGAAAGAGGCATACACCACCCCATTGCCAATCGTCGTCTGGTCTTACCTGGCCAATTTGCCAAGAGCCAAGACACTGCCAATGCACTGAAACGACAAGTATCTCAGCTTCAGGAACAAAACGCCGGCCTGTGTAGATCTCTTCATGAGGCAGACAGCCAGAATACCGCGCTACGACAACAACTTTCTGCCTATAGGCAATACATAAAAAAGCAGGATGATGGGCTAGCCCACGTTATCAAACACCATTTGCTCTGCGTTCCAGGGTTATCGAGAGACTGTGGTGGAGGCCACCTGGGACGCAACTGCGGCGGAAGACGCCGTGCAAAGCGAGATGAGAGGCGCAGGGGGTCGGTCTCCTCCGCAATTTTAGCCAGTCTAGGGATGATTATTTCTCCAGTTTAAAATAAATACACGACGTTGTCCTTATCCTATTGATCCCGGACACGCGCAAGCGCCCAGGTGCCGAATGCGACTGGACGTGCACGCCCGAGAAACCAGCACTGCCCATATCCCCAACCCGCCGCCTACACCCCCAAAATCTCGAGTGAAGGATGCAACCTTGGCGCAAGAGAACCGGCCGACATCACGGCGGTAAGCCGAAAAAAGAGTGGAGACGGCCCGGGGCCTTGCAAGCCGGTAGATCGAGAAGGCGGACGAGCGTGGGACGATCAGATCAGGTCCGAAATTTCGTCCCGCACTTGATGAAGGCCAAAATGACAGATTTAAAGTAAAGATACTCCGTAGACCTTGAATATCGTTAGCCGCCGAAGTTCGTTTAGTCGAGATATATATATATCAGTGCAAAGAATCATAATCAACAGAAACTACTACCATAAACGACAATATGGCACCAATTACCTGCAAAGTTGTCGACGCCAACAACCGTGGACGGCCTGGAGTCTATGTGGTTCTGGAGTGCAAAGACCAACTGCACCGCGGCATCGCAACGCTGGAATCACTGACCGATGAAGATGGCGGAATCAGTCTGTGGTTCCCAACACCATCACCCGGGCGAACAGACGATGTGGAGCCACAGATCGTTGACAGCAGCAATATTCCTAGAGTCTCTTTGACTTTCTTCCCTCATACCGTGCCGTCAACATGCCCAGGCCCGTTCTTGTCTATCCACACGGACTTGTACCTCCAGGGGGATGAGTGCCACGGAATTACCCTGTACCTTGACCCTCATCCACGACTAGTGCACTCCCCTGTCCCGGTAGCCAGCCCGCTCAACAAGTTCGCTGCCGCAGCTGTGAGCACGCAAGAGCCGCAGCGAGACCTGTCAACCCCTTCCCCGTTGCTGCTGCCTCCACCAGTCAGCCAGAACAGCCGACCATCGCCGATGCTTCTGAATGGTATGCACTGCCACAATGGGAGTCGGGGTCAGAAACGGAAGGCGGAAGACTATCCGCAATCACCAAACAAGAGGCGCTAATTCGGGTGGCGGAGGTGGGACAGGGGGATTCGTGAAGAGAACTTCGCCTTCTTATTGGAGACATTACGAAAGCAAATTGTCGATTCTGCAATAGTTCAACACTAGGGCACGGGATGTATAGCACTTGAATAATAAAAACTGGGGCTTTCAAGAGATGTGCACATGTGATATGGCCTGTTTTTTGTGAAGGAAGCCTGTTGGCCAAATGAAGACGACGACTGGCGTGGCTGTGACTATCGCTTTTAGTTGGTTACCGACGGTACGGTCCGCACTATGTGGGCCCCAATGACAGACAATGAGGCCTACGCTAGTAAGCCTCACAATGGCAGACGCCAACCCTACCGTTCATGCTTCAGGTGCTTCAGGATGTGGAGTTGGCTCCCCCACGTCTTTCCTCCATGGCCAGATGCACGTCCCACCTTCCGCCCGACCTGTGCGATTTACCCTGGCTGGCAGGCTGCACGGGCAGTCACAATCACAAAATGGTGACATTGGCTACTAAGCGAAGGGCAGCCTAAATAATGTCCGTATAGCTCGGCGTTCGGCATTCTTCATCTATTCCGAGAAGATCCAGTGACCCGTAGGTTGAACCTCTCTAAGAATCATTATCTGGACATGTACATTGAAGTTATCCCAAACTGTTTTGCGGTTGATCAAGAGTCGGCAGACTTGGTCGTTCAGCTCAACCTTTAGTCTCTTGAAGTCACTCTCATCAACAGTAACTCCCCTAATACAAAAACCAGGTCCAGTGAATGAAATTCTTACACCAGATGCGTCACCCGCTCCAGGTAGTTCGCTCATGAGCTCTGAGAGCGACGTGACTTTGAACTTATGTGGAGGCTCCCACGTTTTATAGCTCATGTACCCATTGAAGTCTTCTCCTAGGCTATATTTGAACTGGAAACTGCCAATGTGGCAGGTATTTGTCATATAGTCAG